GATTTGGGCTGTTGGCTTTTTTCGTAACTAATGCTCTCTCACTGCCACGATGTCTGCCACGGTGGTACAGTCGAGAGCTCAGCACGGATTCATCGGAGTCGCAGGCGGTGAGCAGATGCTCCTTTAGTTTCCGGGACGGCCAATTCCGGAATCCCTTCCGACCAACTCCTCCTTCCAACTGAAGTGTCCAGAAGCATTGAATTATTATGTGCTTTTTGAAAAAACATCTTTTCTTAACATGAAAACCCAACTTTCACTCTCCTTAACTTGCATTTTTGTAGACATGAAGGCCACGATGGTGTGGCTGTAGAGTGTTGGTTTAACCTCGTTTTCCCAACCTGGTCGGAGCGTCAAGGAGACCTTGTGGAAGGTACGTGGTCTCGTATCCTCTGCCTCAGCATTCGTGCTTTCCAGCATCGGACTACGCACCTTCCACAGGCTCGCCCTGGCGCTTCGACCGAGTTGCGAAAACGACTTCGAACCTTTACACTTTTTACTTGAACTGAATTTGCACGAATCGATGGGCACCGAATTCAAATTCCACTTTGTAAGTTCAAGTGGCCTGAGACAAGTTCATTGGGACAAATCGATATGAGACACGGCGCCAAGTGCGGAGAAATGGCCGGCGACTTTGAGACAGCTGCGTAAAATGAGTGTGACTGACCGACATGGCGAGTTGGGCAGTTGGGCGACTTCTGTTTGAGAAGAAAGTCGTCGGCTTGCTCGAACGGATGATGATTAAGAGTCTGCTTCAGCACCAGCATCTGCTGGGCTCGTGGTCTGTCGGAATCACAACCAGACTCGGACGCAATCTGGTGCGGAAGTCTTGATTTTGTGTGGCAATTGACTGGCGTTTGCATGCAAACAGTTCCATTCACCTACAAACTGTCTGATCCTTTCGACGGAAACAGCATCCGGTTCCGGGGAAAGCAGGTTAAGCTGTCAACTGACATGCCAGACGACAGGCTTCATCGAAGCGGTGGCGCTTTCTTCTCGCGAGAAAGACCCAATAACGAAGTTGGACACTGCTCGGCTCGTCTTCTGCCTACATTTCGCATAAAACAGAAGAAACGGAAATGAAACGGAGAAAGAAGAAAGATGTGTACACACATGATTGCATTTGTTTGTGTGTGTGTTTATATATACACGGACGTACGATGCCATAATGATAATCCAGAGTCATGATGTTATAATGACCTCTTTTTAATATATTTAAAGATTTCATTTCCTCTTCCACTCTTGTGGAGACTTCCATTTCGTGTGAAATTGCATAATGAAGAGATTCGTGAGTAGATCTCACAAATAGTCGGCAACCATTTAGCTTTAGGACAACTCTTAGATTAACGTCATCTCCTAAGCATCCTCACACGTTTCAGGCGAAAACGGGCTGACCTTTTGTTTGTCAGATGATAAAGATCATCAGAGTTCGGACTCAGTCTTACAAAAGTCATAAGTTAACATTGAGTGAAGAAAAACTGGGACCTTTGTTAGATTGGGCCTGAGCTCTTATGATTTTGATAGAATTAATTCACTCTATTGGCACACAAAGCACCTTCCATCTTGTGTCTCTGTGTCTGATCGTAAATCTTACCATCAAGTGTGAAATAGATACTGATCATGTATAAGTTGACTATTTGTAAAATTGACTTTATTATTATACTCAGGCGTTCGGATGCCTTACCCGAAAGAGTGACTGGTCCTGAATCACCCTTTTAAATAACCAAATAATCTTACAAAATCTTCACACTATTCAGGTATTACTTCTTTATGCAGTTTAGGAAAGTTGTAGGCCTTTGAATAAGTCAATTACTTCTTTCATATTTCGATTAACTCTTTACTCACACACCTCAAGGGCAGGCAGATGTCTAGATTTGGGGCTCTGTGTAACATCTTTTACTAATTATTTTTGCATAGCCCTGACAAAAATTTAGCCATTTTTATCTCCTTTCAAGATGATGAATTTATTATAATGCTCATTATTGTAAGATAATAAGATCCCTTTGACTTAATTAAGTTACAAAATTGATAAATCAAATTTTGATCTGTACACTTTTCCGGTAATTTATTCGTTAAATTAGTTCATTAAATCATCACTTTCTTCCCCGACATGACAACCACCGGCAGGATACACAATTTTGTTTAGTAGTCGATTGTTATGGCAAATATACGTTTGCTTCATCGACAATCCCACCAGAAAATATGATATGGCAAAAAAGGCCTGACCTTATTTTAAAATTCACGTTTGCCCTGTGGCCCAATAGGTGCTTGTGGCAGTGTAGCTGATTGGTTAGCGTGTCAAGCTCCCATCCTACACTGTCGCGGTTCGACTCCCGCTGACGGTGTTGATAAGACCGATGCGAGGTCAAAACTGCACTCCACTGGTGCCTGGATGAGATCAACTTTTGGAATTACATGGAAACGTCAGCTCAACTCATATTATTGTGGGAAAATTCTTCTACCAGTTCTTCATCACCTTAGACGAAATAGAGTGATTAAAGCTCATATAAATAATTTAAGCAAATTATAGCGGAATTTGCCGACCGTTACTTACATTCAAATACGGATTCAGCTTCTCTTCACACACATCCTTCCCACTGACGGATGCAGTCTTAATTGTCGAGTTCATTTGCATTCTCGTTTTTATCTTTAAATAGCAATGATGAGTCTTCGTCATGTTTTTTATAATAGATCTCCAGGTCGGATTTTCATTTTCCAGTTCGACAGGCACAAAAACGCAGCCTAAAGTGCCTTTAGGATCACAAAGATGTACGTGTCGCCCCGAGTCTTTCAGATATTTGATTTTGTCCTCAAAGCAGACATCAACGAGTATACACTGTCTGGCTACCTCGGACCAAATCCAACCCTGAAGGAAAATGGGATCAGGAGATGGAAAACTTTACTTAAAATAGGCATTAGGGATATCATCGGCTATTTCATATAGTATGAAAGTTTGGGTCAAAGAATTCGAAATTTGGCTGTATAAGAAGTAAAAGTAAGTCCATTGCAGTCCATTGGTGCATGGGTGAGAATAACTTTTAGGAAAGCAAGGCTATGTGAAATTCAATGAAAGCGTCAGCTCATCTCATATCATCGTAGGAAAATTATTCTTCTACT